TAGACCAGGATGGCCTCGAACTCACAGAGCTCTGCCTGCTTCTTCCTCCTGAGTGCTGGGATTAGAAGCGTACGCCACCCCCACCCCACTTGACTATTGTACACCATGCAGCATGGATTAATCGCTCTTTTGGTGGCTATGACCCACTACCTGGTTAGTTCATTTAGGCTCACATTTGAGTGGATGTTGTCTATCATGTCACGACAGGGAAGATAGGATGGCAGATCCAAAAGGGACCAGGAACCTGAGAAACAGGGGCCAGGAGAGAGGGCAGGCTCTAACTCTCAGCACCTCCCCCCAGCCCCAGCCCCACCTCCTCCAGCAGGGTCCCATCACTTAAAAGTCCCATTTCCAGTACCTCCCTCCATCTCAGCCCCACCTCCTCCAGCAGGGTCCCATCACTTAAAAGTCCCACAACCTCTCACAACAGCGCCTCCTGCTGGGGACCCAGTGTTCAATCAAACACATGAGCCTGTGGGGAACACTTACCTCCAAACCACCACACAGAGGCAACCAAGTTCAATGAATATAACATCTTATCATTTTCTAAAAGAGGGTGCAAATAGGCATGTAAGTCTGTTTTGATGATTAAATAGTAAGTTTTTAAACTCCCAGACTATTCCCTGACACACAGTAGGCACTCGATAAACTATTACTGGAATTTCTATAAATGGAATTTGCTCTCATTTATATGAGCCCTCTGCTAAGTTTCATGGTCACATGTTAAGCTCCTCCTCTTAGCTTTTACTTCCATCAAGTACAAGATCATTGGAAACTAAACTCATTTTTTTTTAGATGTTAGAGTGGGTGTGGTGGTGTATGCCTTTAATGCTAGCACTGGGGAGGCAGAGGCAGGCAGATCTCTCTGTGTCCAGTCTGATCTAGATGCTACTCACTGAGCGTGAACAAGAGAAAGCGGTATAAATAATCTTAAAAAAACGAGGATGGAGTTGCATGTAATAAGCTCCAGGCAACTAGGGGTTACTAGTTAAGGGAAGAGATGGGGGCCCGAGAAGATCTGCCATAGGCCAAGGGTCAGTACCCAAGGGTGAGAGTTACCCGCACAAGCTCAGGTGTCAGGAAGTGAAGACCGGCCAAGAGTCAGTGGGCAGGTGGCTCCCAGCTCACAGGACACCCACATGGGGAATCTGGCTCCACCAAAAGGCTCCACTCCAGAGCTGGTGCATGCCAAGCCAGAGCTGAAGGTCTTGATAGCCAGCGAGGAGCCCAGAGAAACGGAAACATATCCCTGCGCCAGAGAGACTTGGCGGATCGCTGGTGCTGGGCTTTTTCATGGCTTGCATGGGTCAGAAGCCATCTACAGAAAAGTGAAGAAACGTTCCGCAAGAGAGCCATGATAACGCTCTTGTCTTAGGAGTCGCAGTGCTGTGATAGAACACCAGAGCTCCAAGTAACTCGGGGAGGAAAGGGTTTATTTCACCTTACAAGTCTCAGGTCACCCTCTGTCACCCTAGAAAGTCAGGGCAGGAAGTCTGAGGCAGGAACTGAAGTAGAAGTCACTGTAGAACGCGTCTTACTGATTTGCTTGCTCATGGCTTACGCAGAGACTGCCTTTTCCTTCCTTCCTTCCTTCCTTCCTTCCTTCCTTCCTTCCTTCCTTCCTTCCTTTCTCTTTTTTAAAGATTTATTTATTTATTATGTATACAGTGTTCTGTCTGCAAGTGTCCCTGCAGGCCAGAAGAGGGCACCAGATCTCATTACAGGTGGTTGTGAGCCACCCTGTGGTTGCTGGGAATTGAACTCCGGACCTCTGGAAGAACAGTCAAGGCTCTTAACCTCTGAGCCATCTCTCTAGCCCTCAGACTGCCTTCTTAAGGCACCCAGGCCCACCAGCCCAGAGGTGGTACCACCACTAGTGATGTGGGCCCTCCCACATCAATCATCAGTCAAGAAAACGCCCCCACAGGCTTACGCGCAGACCCATCTACAGAAGGCATTTCCTCCACCGAGGTTCTTTGCTCCAAACTGACTGTAGCTTGTGTCAAGTTGGCATCAAGAACTAGCCAGCACGGATATTCACATTTGACTAGCAAGCCTTCTGTCTGGTGGCAGGTCTTAAGAAGTGGAACAATGTTCTCCTCTCGTCTCTGTATGTCTGAGCCTGTAACAGGGCATCTAAAGTCCCGCCAGCTTTGCCAAGACTTAGGCAGTCATACACTAGAAGCTCCATTGTTATCCTTGGGCTGTGCCACACCAACACCTCTGCTTCTTCCTCGAGTGGACTGGAGTTGCTGCTGGAGGGGACATGCTGTGTGCTGCAGTAAGACTGGCAGAGAGTAGGACCCGCGGGCATCACTTTCCAGACGAAGCATTGCTGATTCTCGGAATCACTCCTGGATGACTGCGCCTGGGGCTAGGCCTTCACATGCTTGGTTGGGGGGGAGTCAAATCCTGTGAGAAGGAAGCAGACAAGTAGAAAGGGAGCGCAGATTAGAAAGCGGATGAGAAAGCTGACCACAGCAGGTAACAAGTGGAACTAACTGATCGCTGGGTCTGGCAGGACGTCTGCAGAGAGATGGTATGGAGTGATTACAGCTCCCTTCCCGAGTTCCAAGGAAGCCGTCATCATCTGGCCCCCTGACCGGTTGATCAACACTTGCTCCATAGGCTTTTACTCCCCCACACTTCCAGGTTGCATCATCTGGTCTCTGCATCAGCTGTTGGAGAAGCCAGGTTCAAGACAGCCGCTGAAGCATCCGCCGCATAAACCAGGGCCTTCAGGATGAGTCCGTGAGCAGGTGTGGGTGGGTGGCCCTTCCCACATCCCTGCCTGCAACTTGCAACCCTGGGATTTTGGCCAGTGGGTTCTGTGGCATCATTTAATTCCAAACCTGTAGCTTCTCAGACACCAAGAGCAAGTGAGATGTTCAAGTCAGTTGCTGACTTGATCATGCTCTGCAGATATGGGTGTGAGGTCGGCATCCCAGAATCCTCTGCCTTAAAACTATAAGACAGCACAAGCCAGTACTTGGGATTGCCTCCGTTAGGATGTAACTCATGTTGGATCTGGGATGGCTCATTATTTATGTGTTTCTAATTATACTGCAATAACTAATACCACTGAGCAATTACTGTGCAAACTTTTTATATAATTCCATGTAGGAATTTACTTAATACATTCTGCTTTATACTCTCTTCCCATGTAATTTTCTATGGTGAGTGGTTCACCATCTCATTCAATATTCTTCAACAGCGGTTTTCACCGCCAACGGCATGATCTATACTCTGTATGCATAATCATTTATTTCACCTTCCCATGTGGAAGAACACATTGGTTATTTGTAATTGCCTTCATACGTCAATGCCTGTCAGTCATGTTTGGCTCCTCCATGTTGTTAAAACAAACAACCCCCGGGGTTTCAATGGTTTAAAATAACAGATTTATTTTTCACTTACATAAGGGGTTAGCAAGAGATCTCTGCACATCACCATCACGCTGGAACCAAGTCTAGCAGAACAGCTGACATCTCAAATGTCATTGGTCATCGTGCCAGAGGGAAAATATAGCTCCTAAGAGAGTCACATTGGCAATTAAATACATCCTGGAAGGGACGGCATCTGAGCTGGTTGGTCAGATCTGGTTGCAAGGCTCCACCCAACCACAAGGGGGCCAGGAGGGGACTGGAGCACTAGACAGAGCAGGTGTTGCTCATCAGGCATCTTTAAAAATGTCCTTGAACACGAATCTTTGTTTTGCTATATTTTCTGCAAATGTTTTATAAGGGACATACATAGTGGACCGATATACATTCGGGTAAAACACCCATACACACACAAAATAAACAATTTTAGAAGCTTTTATAGGAAAATTGTTGGGATTGGTAGTAAATAGCACACTTTTTATGCCCTTGCTGCACACACTGGAGTTTTGTTTCGTTTGTTTTTTTTTGTTGTTGTTGTTTTGTTTTTTTTTTTTTGTTTGTTTTTTTGGAGACAGAATTTCTCTATGTAGTAAGTGTGTTGTGAGGTATCCACAGAGAAGATGGCTCGGACATAGGTTTAAGCCAATAGAAAGTCTTTATTAGCTGTCCATTGACCACACCGGGTGTCCAGGATCCCAGCGGAGCCCCAAGCCTTCCTCAGGGTGAGCTTTGAAGCATAAAAGCCATGTCCTGGGTTGACAGACTTCAGTTAGCAAGAACAGTTAGCCAGAAGCGGAACTACAGAAGCCAAAAAGCAAGGTTAGGACATTTAGAGACTTTCCCAGAACTGTGGACTATGATGAATTAGGCCTGTGTTTTCGTTTTGGCAGGTGCTGCAGTCTACGTGCCGAGTTTTACAGTCTGAGTGGTACTTCCACCATGGAGCCAGTTGGGCTAAGATCTCAGGGCCAGCTGAGGTCTAGGGCCCTGTTACAATGGGTCCACAGTAGCAATAGAATAAAGTATTAACTTCGTTCTCATTTTAGATTGCTGTCATTTACAGGGACTGGACTGACCGTGGGAACACTGTTAGAGCATCGTGCTTTGAAATCTTGTGTAAGTCTACTTTTAGGGACTGTCATTTGTTTATAAATGTTGTAGTAGGTTTTTCTTTTCATAACTGTGACAAATATTTGAGAAAAAAAAAACAACTCAGATGATGAAAGATTTACTTTGGTCCGTGTTAAGGACAGTGGTTCTCAACCTTCCAAGGCTGCGACCCTTTAATACAGTTCCTCATGTTGTGGTGACCCCACCCCCAACCATAAAATTGCTTTCGTTGCTCCTTCATAACTACAATTTTGCTGCTGTTGTGAACTGCAATGTAAATATCTGAATATGTATTCCCCGTGAAAGGGTTGTTGAACACCCCCTCTCCAATGGGGCCATGACCCACAGGTTGAGAACAGCTGATTTAGGAAGTTTGGGTCTGTGATGGACTGGCTTTGCTGCTTTTAGGTCTGCAGCAAGGCAGAAACACGAGAGATGACGTGGAGAAAGCGAGCTGTTTTTCCCATGGCAGCTAGCGAGCAGAGAAGTCACGGGGAGGAGCCGAGCCAGAGTCAAGATACACTCTTCAAAGGCATGTCCCCGCCATCCACTTCCTCCAACCGTAGCCCTACCAGCTCTACAAAGTATATTCAACTCTTCAATTCATCAGTCAATTACACCATGTATCAGGTCAGAGACCCCAGGAGCGAATCATCCTTGGAAAGGCCATCACAGACATACCCCAAGGTTGTATTTTACTGATCCCTAGGGGTCTTTTATTTCAAGCAAGATCGCAGTCGTGATGAATCATCACACACGTTATCAGAGAAATGAAAAGAAATGTAACAGACACTCGAGGGCCTCTTCTCTTGAAGATTCAGGTGTGTGCAGGACATTTTCACTAACTGGACCCCTACTTCCTGCTTACTACACCCACGGTTTATCAGAGATTCTAATACATCTGACCTACTGTCCCCCAAAGCATTCAGTGTGATGATTTCTTGAAGACACATCTCATGGGTAGACAGAGTCAGGATAATCTGTTGAATGATTGAATCAGCATTGAATATCTGAACTTATTCATGACTAATAATAGAGATTTGGAGGGGGGGAAAGGCAAAAAGACATACAATAGCTCACAGAGTTGTCCACTGGGGATTTTCTGAGACAAGGAGGTTCAGTAGGTCATAGAACAAGAGACTAGAAGAGACATGTGTCGCCCCTTCCCACAGACGGCTTTGTTTTATGGGAACTTGAGGATGGCTGTGCATCAGTGGCTATGGGTAGAGAAGGACCGAGGGTCTGCATGGCAGGATGGAGGGCTTGAAGAGGTAGCACTACTCATCAGAATAGAAAGCAACTCAGAGAAGCCTCAGTAGCATGCACTGGGTATGAAAGGGTCACAAACGAAGCCCAGAGATTGGCTCCTATCCTGGAACTCAGTCATGAGCTCACTTGGGTTCTACAGTTGTGCTATTAGTATCCAGAAATAACTGAAGGCCCCTGGACGTTTTTAGCTGGATGGAGAAGCTTGACTCTTAGTACATGTAAGTCATCTTCCTGGTTACAAGTAAAGGCAGACGTAGGATGGGTGGAAGGCTTACATGAGCTAGGAAGGGTGAGGACAACTTGAGTTATTAATATGTGACCCAGGGAATCCTGTAGAACCCTGCTTTATATTTAGCATGTGGAACCTAGAAAGAATCATGGTTGACAAAGAATGCAAATGTCCTCTAAGCCAGCATATATCCCATTTCTAGTATTGTTAGAAGACATCTCAGCCTTATATAGGAGTAAAGGGAAACCCACAATCTTTAACGACTTGTTGCATTGATGGGTTAACAGTGCTTTAGTTATTTTTTTGTGATACTGATAAAACACCATGACCAAAGTGACTCACGGAAGAAAGAGCTGACTTTGGCTTACAGCTCCGGAAAGAGAGTCAGTAACGGCGGAGGGGAGGCATGGCGGCAGACAGCTGGAGCAAGAAGCTGAGAGACCACATGGGGTCCACTGCCAACACAAAGCAGGTAGGAAACTGAAAGTGGGGTGAGGCTGTAAACCCTCAAGTCCTGCTCACAATGAGCTGCTCCCGCTAGCAAGGCTCCACCTTTAAAACTCCACAGCCTTGCCGGGTGGTGGCTGCGGCGGCGGCGGCGGCGGCGGCGGCGGCGCCTTTAGTCCCAGCACTCAGGAGGCAGAGGCAGGTGGATTTCTGTGAGTTCAAGGCCAGCCTGGGCTACAGAGTGAGGTCCAGGAAAGGCTCCAAAGCTACACAGAGAAACCCTGCCTTGGAAAAAAAAACAAAAAAACAAAAACAAAAAAACCCACCACCACAGCCTTCCCAAACAGCACCACCAAACAAACAGGGACCAAGTCTTGAAATGGGTGAGCGTGTGGAAGACCCTGTTCATTCAAACCACTACAAGTAAGTCTGGTTCTTTAGAAATGTCTGAAAAAAAAAAAAGGAAAAAGAAAAACACCCAACCTTAGATGCACTAAAAATATACAAATATACTTCTACTTAGTAACTAGCAATGTAAATTTGAATTCACTAAAGAAAATATAACTTTAGACATATCCATATTTGAAATCATGAAAACACGTCACAGATGCATGTGAATGTTTACAATGAAGCCAGTAAGATTTAATTAAAGTTACGCATGATACAGTTGAAAGGATTGCTACTGGTTTTTTGTTTGTTTGTTTTTGTTTTTGTTTTTGGAGACAGGGTTTCTCTGTGTAGCTTTGTGCCCGTCCTGGATCTCGCTCTGTAGACCAGGCTGGCCTCGAACTCACAGAGATCTGTCTGGCTCTGCCTCCCGAGCACTGGGATTAAAGGCGTGCACCACCACTGCCTGGCCTGCTATGGGTCTTCTGATAGGAAGAGTATTTATTAAGATACTGTGAGCTGTTGCAACAGAAAATGTCCAGAACTTTAACTATGAAAAGTTTGTTTCTCACTAGCTGGAAGTCCAAAGTGGGTTTTCTCACGTTCCTTCCTTCTAAGCAGTGAGAGGGACCCAGCTCTTTCTGCATTTTGCAGCTGTGCGGCATTCATCCGCAGGTTCCAGACCCACCATGTTCATGGGTGTTGAGCCCGTGGGTGGCAAGAGACACAGGCTTATGTGTAGGAGGTTTGCATGGCTCAGGTCTGCATGTGGGGTATGTTGCTTCTACCCACTACTCCAAGGCTAGTTCCCATTCTCAGGACCCCACGGAACTGCAGTCCAGCTTAGGAAATAAAGCCGAGCCGAGCTGAGTGTGGTGGTGCACATCCTGGATCCCAGCACTCAGACAGTGGAAGTGGGTGGATTTCTGTGAGTTTGAGGCTAGCGGTAGAGACACCCATCCTTATTGACTTCATAAATCTCAACAAACACCAACAGCAACAAAAAGTACCTATCGGGGCTGGGGATGTAGCTGAGCGGCAAATGGCTTGCCCCAGGTTCAATCCCCAGTGCTGAAATAGAATGGGTTGGAAAGATGGACGAGCGGTTAAGGGCACTTCCTGCTCTTGCCGAAGGCCCTGGTTTGGTTCCTGGTGGCCATATCATGTGGCCCACAACTGCAACTACCTGTTAATGGCTGTTCCAGGGGATCAGACACCCTGTGACCTCTGAAGGCACCAGAACGCACATGGTGTACATAAACTCACGAAGGCACACACACACACAAACAAATAAATGAAAACAGCTCTTAAAACAGAAATTATACTCCAGTCTTTTGAGCTACTGTTTAAAGCTTTAAAAAGTGTCTGTTCCTGCATAAAGTGTGGGAAAATAACAGTGAGAATCAGGCCTTGCCTGGCTAATTTCATTTACCACCTTAGTGGGGAACCACTTTTTTTTTTTTTTTAACATACGGACCATGCATAATTTGGTGAGATTTGTATAAGGAGAATACAAAGTTAGTTATTAAACTCGTGCCTCCGTCCCTAATCCAGAAGCTATCTCCAGTGGATGGCCACTTGCAAATGAAAAGTTAATTTTCTCTTGTTAGGGAGCCTCACTGTGGAAATGAACCACTCTCTGCGTGCCGAGCAGTGGATGGCCAACCGGAAATGAACTCAATGTCGTCTTCGGACGTGCTTTGTCTCATAACGTTACACCGGGGAGTCCTGTTTTGTTGTGTTCCTCTACCTTGCACATCTTTGTGTATATAATGTGGTTTTCAGGTTTGGGCATTTGTGGGATTCCTGTGTGGGTGACTCTGTGTGTCTCTGCACTGCTAGGCATTTTTTTGAGCTTTTCCTTTGGATGTTTTTCTTGTTTGGTTGTTTTGTTATATTCTGATTTGTTCATTCTTGATTTTTCTTATTTATATGTATTACTGTTCCTTAGGAGACACTGAAAGGGTGTGGGTCTGGAGAGAAGGGAAGGTGGGGGAGGAACTGGGAGGAGCAGGGGAGGGGAAACCATAATCAGAACATGTTGTGTGGGAAAAAAAATTCAGTTTTCAATAAAAGAAAATGTTTTTCTTTGTGATTGATAGTTTTGAAATTTTTCAAAGCCGTGGCTTATAAGCAATGTTAACAGGTCACTGTGTAAGGTTTTTGTGGAATCTGGGACTATGTAGCTAAAATTGAAGGGCAATGCAAGTGGCTCTTTTGGTGATTGGTATTCCGTCTGTGAGCCGACATCACTCTCCAGTCGTGTGATGGCTAAAGAAACTCCGTTTTATGTTAGTCATCCATCTTGGTACCCACCAGCCATTTGTCTCTGACTTCAGCCTCTGGAAGATAAGTTCCCAGTAACCCTGACTCAGCGATCCCCCACCCCATACCCAAAAGTATACAGTCATGATTATTATCTGCTTGTTGTGATATGACTGACTGCTTTTTTTTTTTCTTTTTTTTTTTTCTTTTTTTTTTGCTTCTGTAACTTGCTTACGCAGATACCCACGAGATTGTTTTGAGTCTCCTGAACACTTCAACTTGGCAGGACAGACCAGTTTTTGCTTGTGTGGATGTTGAAGGTCTTCTTGTGGTGTTTGCCGTTAAAAAACCCTGCCCCCTAGCCCTCAAGTCTAGCTCAGAGATTATTCATTCTGCTAGGAGCTAATCAATACATCTTTCAATTATAGTGGGATTGAGTCTATGATCTTTTCCAAGGGCTCACAAACTCCATCTAACATTAAAGATTCCTTACTGTGCATTGCATGGTCTCTCTCAGGGCCCCCAAAGCTTAAACTTCCTCACTTTCATGTTAAAGCCTTCTTTGTACCAGATCCGGGTCTGTAGTCACAACCAGAACAGGTCCAACTGATCGCTAGCAGTCTATTCTGAATGAAACCCCCTTTTCTGCATGGCTGGGTCTCAGGACAGTGTCTGCTCTGCTGGATCCTTGATCACTGCGCTCTCCTCGATGGGTAGGAGCTCCACCTCAACCCCTGGCACCCTGGCATCCCTAGACCCAAAGAGTCTAAAATGTTTGGGTGGGAGCTCCACCTCAACCCCTGGCACCCTGGCATCTCTATACCCAAAGAGTCTGGAATGTTCTGGTGGAAGATCCACCTCAACTCCCCTCCCCCATCTCTTTCCCTAAACCAGACCCTTCAAAGTCCGACAAACACAGCTCCTCCCAAGAGAGGTCCAAGACCACTCCCACAGGGTATTTAAGCTGCATCCCAGAAAACAGACACGTGGTTCTTCAGGTCTCTTCTCTCCGGCTCCTCTCTGTGGGCCAGGGAATCACCCTGGAATGCTTTACCCATTACACTGGGCCTTTTCCTAATTTGATCTGATTTGGATTGCTGCTTCGGTGGAGAGGCCTATCAGGATACAAAAAAACTTATCACTCCTGGGTAAGGGCGGAGCATGCTCAGACCCTCGCACGCTGCTATGGAGGCCATCGCTGTTTTCGGAATGCTGGGTTCAGAAAATGATTGGATGAAGCCTCAACCTTTGCACCACGGCATCCCTTCCGCCCCACTGCCCTGCACTGGAGGTCCGTCGAATCCCAGTGGCGGGCTTAGTCTCAGGCTCCCACTTTTCCAGTAGTGCTGGTTGACCAGGCTTTCCCGGGCTGGTCACCGGATACGGCTACAGAAAAGGGTAGCAGTGCCTTAGGGAAATAACAGGTGCTCTTTTGTCGTCCCTGGAGGTTGAGCCTGGGTCGGAGTTGGAATGAAAACATTTCGAATGTCTTTGTGAACAACAGTGAGCGCCATCCTGAGCACATTGCCTGGCTCGCGCCCGAGTCTTATGCAAAACTTATGAAAAAGTGAAAAGAATAAAATAAGAGAGAAACAGGTGAAAAATAGGGAAGACATCGAACGCCTCTAAACGAGAGCAGCAACAAACTGAAGAGAACCGACAGTGTCAGGGGCTGGAGGGGTGGCGCAGTGGAGAGTGCTTGCTGGAGAAATGCAATGCCCTGAGCCAGGAAGCCCAGATGTGCGTGGGGGAGTACAGATGCCCAGGTCCACATAGTGGGGTGTGTCTGCAACCCCAGTGCTGGGGAGAGTTGAGAGGAAACAGATCTGAGGAACTGGACGGCCAGCCTGTCTAGCTGAAATGGCAAGCTCCAGGTTCAGTATAT